CTAGTGCTGGGAATGATTGAGGGCAAAAGAAGAAGAGGACGACAGAGAATGAGGTGGCTGGATGGAGTCACTGAAGCAGTAGGTGTGAGCTTAAATGGAGGCCAGAGGATGGTAGAGGACAGGAAGGCGTGGAGGAATGTTGTCCAGGGGGTTGCAATGGGTCAGACATGACTTCGCAACTAACAACAACAACAACAATCCCTTGATGCACCTTAACGACGGTGTGTTTGTATCGCCAATCTCCGTCAGTTTCTCCAGGGTTGAAAAATTAATTAAAAGGAAAATTGGAAAATTAAAAGGAAGTCGGTGTTTGCACATGTATGTGCATGCAAGAACTTATACTCTCTCACACCCACATTATGAGAACTTTATTCGGGGGAGGGGGAGGGGGAAATCCTCTTATCTTTGTTGAATGCATAGTTTAGCCCTAGGGATCTTGGGTTCGACAATGTAACATATAGCTCTTGGGAAGTTGCTATTGGTAGCTTACAATCTGGATATTAAGATTGTATCATCTGATCTGACTGCCCATTAAAGGCATGGCACTAGATGCAGGGGTTAGGGAGATATTTGCTTACTTAATTTTGCCATTTTTTAAAAAACCAATCTACAAGTCAAAGCTAAACTGTCATTCAAACGTCAAACTATTTTGGAACTGAATACTGTAACGTTGTTCATTGGTGTTCTTAAACACATTTATTAAGGAAAGACTTGTGCTTGAAAATGCATGTATGTGTGAAAATAATGTACAAAAGACATTCCAAAAGGAATTATTTGCAAAACTGTGAACTTGTACTAAAATTCAAAGACATGCACATTAAAATACATGCAAATTGTAATACTAACTCCAAAAACAGTCCAATTCACTGAAATCAACTTTACAGATTTGCCAAAGAAGAGAGGTGGAGGAAAAAAACCCAAAATAGACAAATTTCTTTATTGCTGCTTGCTGGATTCTTTCATGAAATGTTCAGAGAAATGCAAGCATCTTTAGCAACAAATAAATACATCACTTTTGGTGACATATCATGCACACCCTTTAAGGCTAATGTAAGCATTTGAAATTCTCCAAAACTCTGTGATGTTTAAAAATTCTTTCACTGCCTCTGCTGCACAATAACATATTTTTACATGTTTGAGTATTTCTACACAGACAGCTATTCTACCATTCACAACTGAGATTTTTAAACTTTATTTATTCGTTCTTTTTTTGACCGTAGCTAGTGGGTTTTTTTTTTTTCCTCTTTAAAATGCTAGAAACCTCGTTCCACTGCTCCTTCCCCATTTTCTCTGCTCTCTTTCCAATACTCTGTCAATTTTGTTTGGACTGTTTGAGGAATTATCAACAGTACATTGATAATTGATTGGTCGTCTACATCATACTGAGTGATAAACTGTTGCACCTTTGTACTGGTTTTGAAATCAATTATTTCAGCCATGGATAATTCCGCCCGAAATCTGTGTCCTCTGAGCTTTGAGCCCTTCTCCATCTGATATTCTTTATGACTAACTCAGCAATGAACTAAATACTCCCTGCATATATTCAATCACATTTCCCACTTATTATGATTTTACAGCTGAGCTTTAACCTGCAAGGCACATGTAAAGGTAAGGCTGGACTCGGTTACTAAGAGGACAGACAACATACTGATATAAGAGGGACCAGACTCCATCAAAGGTCACATTTTTAGCAGCTTTGCTGGAAATGGTGAATGTGGCCCTGCCAATGTTGCTAATGCCATCAGCTAATCACATTCGTGATGTTGCTAAACACAAAACCTCCAGCTCTTGGATGGGCCACATCTGACCACACGCGACAAATGCTTTTTTCCCCCTTCAAACACATCCACAATCAACCACAAGTTAGCCGTGGAGATCAGAAGGATATCCTTTCCTCATAAGTTCCCACCTCAGAAACCACATGGCCCTCTGTCTCTCCACTGTCTATCGATGCAATGAACAGGCGCTGGAGAAGTTCACTGCTTCCCTACTCCTCGTGGCTTTCATTCCCATGAACCAAGAAAGAAATCAACTTCCAAGGCATCCTCAGCATTTGAACCCTTGTATCATCTGAGAGGGAAGACCTCCACCCAGCCACCTCCCCCCACCACCACCCTAATTCTTCTCCCCCAGGAAGAGAATCTCCTTACAAAGTTGGTGAGGACTTCTCCGCAGGGACACGGCTGGTGGGACTGGAGCGCAGCAGGCTGGAGGTTCAGCAGGAAGGTGGTGAGGAGGAGCAGCAGCAGGACTCTCCGAGTGGGACTCCCCATGGGTTGCTGGGCTAGACCTCAGCTGGGCTGGAACATGGCTGTTGTTAAACAATCCAAGACCAAGAGTCAGATCTCTCTCTCGGCAGCATATCTAGGCCAGGGTAGCTGCCAGCGTGTCTCCACCCCTTCTTCCCTTGCACACCGCTTTACCCTGCCCTGCCCTAACCTAACTAAGCTTGCTAGGCTGCATTCTTTGGCGGCTGCTGTTCATGCTGCTGCTGATAAGGACAGCCGGAGTTCTGCAGGGCTGTCACTGGGAAGGCGGGGGATAGGGGAATTTTCTCTCTCTCTCTCTGCCCCATCCTATCCAGAAAACACGTTAAGTCTGTGGTAGCTCACGAAACTGCTGGGTTTCCCCCCACCCCCAATAAAACGTGCTAGTTGGGGGGAAAAAATGAGCCACCACTCTTCCTGATTTATTTATTTTTCCCCTCGGAGTCCAGCACATCTCGACTTCTTCCTGGGGAAATAATAGCCCCACCGAGCTTTTCAGAATCATTTCGAATCTGAAATACTGTAGCCAAAAGGGAATCGATATCCAGGGAGAAATTTACCAAGCCGTCTTCTCCCGGAGACTGAGGTTGTTCACAAGGGAGGGGAAACCTGAAGGAGTCACAAATGGTTCCACCACAAAACCGCGGTAGACAAAAGCGTGCTCGACGAAAGCGCGTACATGACGTCATCACAGCGCGACGAAAACATCGCGCTGTGATCG